TTTAGTAAAAATAAGCAGCAGAGCCAAGATTTGAATCTGAAACCACTGTTCTCCTTGGCCACTTCTCTACAGTGTGTCATAGGTGTCATGGGCTCTCCTGATACAACCTGTAAGCTCACCTAGGTAATAACTTTAGTAACTTTAGCTTCTCGGTGAGGTTTTGCCCTCCTTTTGCACTTGCTTCAGGGCAGACCCTCGCAAAAACTCCTGGTCAGTTAAGATCCATTTAATAGTTTTTTTCCCCTCCAGCTTTACAGAACTGTAATTGAGATAAAAATTGTACATAATTAAAGTGTATAACAGAATGATTTGATATGCATATGCTTTGTGAAATTATTACCACAATCACATTAATTAACAGCTATCACCTCCCTCATGTAGTTACCATATTTGTTTCGTGGTGAGAATGCTTAAAATGTACTCTCTTAGCAAATTTCCAGCATACAATACGGTATTGTTAACTATAGTCACCATGCTGTAGCTCAGATCCTTGGAATCTATTCATCTTATGACTGAAAGCTTGTATCCGTTTGAAGGTTCATTGTCCTGTAGCCCTGACCTTTGGCTTTGGTTTTTGTCATGCAAGTGCCTGACTTAAACTCTGATGGCCTGAGGCGTCCACCTTGAAGATGGCTATCTTGAATTAACACAGCATCGACTAGACTAGATAAAGAACAGGGCTGCCTCCGTCATCCTCCACCCCCTGTCCCAATAAAAGTAGAACCCAGACTTATATAAGGTTCCCCTCCCTCTTTCTTTCTTCGCCCACTCTCTTTCCCACCCTTCCCCTCTCTCTACCCTCGACTGCACTGTGGCCCCAGGTGTGCCATGTGCTTTCCAGGACTTGTGAGGAATAAACTCTTTTCCCCAAAGTTTTCTGATGGTTGCTGCTGAAAGGTATCTTGCAATCGTCATAAGGACCACAAGGGTGGGCGATTCCAGCCACAACATTATTTGTCCATGGGCTGTGATTGGCACAAAACATTCATACAATCATGCTGGATATTTTCTTTTCCTCTTGAGGAAGATTGCTACATTTTTTTTTCCTCATCTGATTTCCCCTGGATCAAGTTTTATTATTTTTTTCCCCTCGTTTTTCTTCACTCATCTCCTTCACATCCCACAGCCATCATTTGTATATCAGAAGTTTGAAGCACGGGACAGCATTCCTCATGGAAGTTTTGTTTGGTGGTGAAATTATGTGAAACCCGTTGGAAGTGAGAGTGGCATGGAGAGAGGAGGGAAGGAAGAAGGAGGCTCAGTGGCATTTTGTTACCGTGGACATTGTGAGGCTTTCGCTGTACTCATTGTAATTCTTAAGAAAATTGACAACACAGTGACAAGATCCTAAGGACAGGATAATTTATAGTGAATTTCCAGGAAATACTTGGACTGAACTCAGTGGGTAGATGTATGACCATATGACTATTTCCAACCCCATTATAAAACCTGGACTGTCAGTTGGGAAGGGACCATAGATATATTTTCCTTTTTTAATTGAAGTATAGTCTGTTTACAATGTTGTGTTAATTTCTGGTGTACAGCATAATGATTCATTTATACACATATATATTCCTTTTCATATTCTTTTCCTTATAGGCTATTATAGAGTACTGAATATAGTTCCCTGTGCTATACAGTAGGACTTTGTTGTTTACCTATTTCATATATAGTAGTTAGTATCTACAAATCCTGAACTCCCAGTTTATCCCT